TGGGCTGCAGAAACAAAGTGGGAACAACCTCAGCGCTCACTGATGGATTTACTGCTCTCTGCAGGCGTTACAGGATGCTGCCCCTGGATTGCACACGTGTATACAGCTCCCTCACGCTGAGTTTTGAGCAGGGGAAACAGTCGAGATTCCTATGGGCCTCAGGCCTGAGTATGATAAGCCACTGCTGGGTCACAGCCCCGGAGTGGGACCTGCCAGCACAGAGCTTGCAAGCCCTTGCATACCCAACCCATTCCCTGGTCTCCAATAATCCCTCAAAAGTGCATCCTTGGGGCTGCTGTCACCACCGTGGCCAGTCTGGAGGGTGGCAGGTCAATGGGCAAATGGAAGGCTAATAAATCTGCTTGCAGAAGTCACGCCCCCAAAGGCTGGAGAGCTGGGACATGGAGCTGCATGCTGGGTGCCGACCACTGCTGTCTGCGCTCCTGGGAGGACACACAGACTTCTGTTCCACATTCAGCTAGCAAGGAAGACCGCAGACCCTGTCTTGCTTGGGGGCTCGTCCTTGACCTTCCGGGGGGGCACAAAGACAGTAGTGTATGTGTCCAGGGAGGAAGCTGAGAGCTAGTCTGAGAGAAGCCCATCACAACTGCAGCTGTTTGCACAATGCAGAACGTGTCCCGGCTACTCACACGCTCCCTGGGCCATGCTTGAAAGCAAGGAGTCATCAATGGGGATCATTCATTTTGCACTCTTAGAAACTCCCCCGCTCCAAGTTCTAGAAGAAAAAGCAGCAAAATAGAATAGTCAGAACCAAGTCCTTCAACCTGGGCACCTGCCTAATAAGACTTTCCTGTGGGGAGGAGACTGAGGAGAGACTTAGACAACCAGGTCTAATGCTAAAAAACCCAGCATGGGCTGTTTGAGCCATCCTGCTTTGCTCCCCGCCTGCAGGGATTCAGGGTTTCAACAGAAGGGCAAACACAGGTGGCTAGGGGCTAGACCAGAGGAAATTGCAACCCCTCAAGTGCCCCCGGGCGCTGCTCTCAGGCAGTCCCCATCTCCTACAGCAGGCAGGACACAGGGGGCTGCCAAGCTCTGCAAAGCAAACTCTGTTAAAGCGAGAGAGAGAGTCAGCGAAGGATACACAGCCAGGGTCAAGTGTTGTGCCTGCTAGGCACCTGCCAGACATAGGGCAACCCAGAGAGGCAGAGCACATGTGCTGCTATTTGCCATGTCTGCAGACCTATCTGCCACATGGCTCAGCATCCAGCATGGGCACTTTGAACCCGAGAAGCAGTCAGGTACAATATAACTTGTGTGACATACAGGCAGCGTGGTGGCATGGGGGAGATCTTGCCATATGTGACACAGGCGAAGCCCCAGGGTCAGTGGGACGTAAACAGGAATTACCAGCTGCAGGCTCCTGCTAAACAGCCCTGGCCCTGGCTCTTCCCTGTACTGCAAACAGGACACTGAGAGATCCTGCTGCTGCTGAGGACAAGCCCCACAGCAGTGAGAGGAAAGGGGTCAGAGTAACCCCCTCGCAAATACATCCTGTCCCCCTGCCCCAGTCTCAGTGTCACGAGCTCAGCAGACAGCATAGGGGCAAGAGCTGCCTTCATGCAGGGAAGCTCTTCTCCTCTCCAGAGCCACTTTTTGAAACCTCTGCTGGACCCCAGAATCTAGATCAAACTGAGGATCACAGAAGCATCTTTGGAGACTGTTATGTGTATTTGTTCCCCAGCTGTGGCCATTTCTGGCATCAGGCAAGGCCCAGTTATTACACCAAGCTCTGCTCAGTCGGTGTGATAATGGTTGTCGTGGTTTAACCCCAGCCAGCAACCCAACTAGCCACTAGTGCTATCCACACTGACCCTACACTGAGCTACTGTCACATAAGAGACACTAGTACTTGTCCAGTCTGGGGTACCATCACCACCAGTGGCTAGAAGCAGATACCTAGGGAGGCAGGGGACAGACTGAACACAGCAATGGTGTCCTGAATGCATTCCCAGACTTCAGTGGCGCAGGGTATCTGAGGCTGGAAGCAGCAACCCGGCACTCAATAGCTCATCGTGTTTCGGGTTTTTTTTGTTTTTTTTTTTTTTCTTGGAATCAAGCTCAAGCTCTGACCATCCTGCCCTGGATCTTTTCCAGTTCCAGTTAGCTCAAGGCCTTCTGCTGCTCCTCCAATTTACAAAGGGGGGTGTGTGTGTATATGTTTAAAAAATAATAAGAAAATGCAAGCCAGCTCAACCAGGTCTGGGTACGGTTTCCATCACGTTCTTAGAGATGACTTTGCCAAGATAGCAAAAACTAAGTCACAGCCTTGGAGAAGTAGGAAACACCAAGTAAGGTGGCTCTCCCCACCCAGCAGCTAGGGAAACATGGGAAGGAAGGCAGTTTCAGCCAGACCATTTTATCTCTGTGACCAGATGGCTTTAAATGCTTCCCCAGAGCTTGGAAAGGGCCAGGCTCTGCTTTGAATTGCTTTTCATACAACCTCATTAGAAAGTAAAAGGGAAGAAATGAACAATCTATAACTTTGTGGTATCGGGAAACAGCTCTGTTAATCCTGTTTCCTTCCGTGAGCTTACTCAGAGCAGGTCATCCAGCACCAGGGCCACATCACCTAATCTGCTTATTGTTGCCCCACAATCAGAAGCCTGGGCTCCTGCCCGAAGGGCAGATGCATCCTCCTCGGCATTATTAATAAATCGGAAGGGCCCGGGTTGTTAAATCTGACACTGCTGCTTAATTGTGATGCTCCCAGCACCCAGCTTCTACTTGCTGCTGCAGATCCAAGCAGTGGCCACCTCCCAAAGCCAAGCCTGTGAGAGCGAGGGCAAGAGGGGCAGAGCATCGCTGGGGGAGCAGACAAGAGGCACCCTAGGGCAGGCACTGCAAAGCCCAGGGTGGGGGTACCTGTGGCACCCCTCGCATCCTGAGCAGCAGGCCTCTAGGTTTCTTGGCCTGTCTGGGAAAAACGTGGGCAAATCTGACAAGATGCAGAATTTCCCCCTTTCCAGCAGGGCTAGCGCATGCCCTGCCTGCACATCTGGGATGGGGGGGGGCCAAGCCCTTGCCAGCAACACAGAGCTCAGGTCTTGCTCCCACCTGCTCACAGCTATAGCATGGCCTGGCTACTCCGCAGGTCACCACTGCTTTATCTGCCAGCATTGCCACTGAGCTGTGTTTTGTCACCTTAGTAAAAATCTCCTGAGCTCAGAAGCCAAATGGCACTGATGAGCCCTCATACATAGCCCCCCAGGTCACTACCAGCCCTTTCTCTCTGCCTCCCTCTCCCCCGGGAGGACTATGTCTTCTCAGAGCCAACCTCCACCTCGTGTCCACATGGAAAGGAAAATACAGCCTCCTGCGAGAGTCAGGACTAAGAGATTTCAGACTTTCAGCTCCTGCTCCTGTCAGGGGCAGGGGTCCCATGGCAGAAGGCAGCCTCAGGCAACACATCAGGCAGGCAGCATTTAGTGTTTTGGTTGGACCCACAGTTCCAAGGGCAGTAATGGGTGGCTTGGCATGGAGTCAATGGTTGGAGTGGGGTAAAAGTTAAAAAAGTTAATGGGACAGAAAGAGAAACAGCAATCCCTAGCTTAGTTTCTCAGCTGAGGAGTACCAAATTTTAGCAAATTACTACCTGTATACGACAAAGCCAGGTGTCCCCAGTCTGGACCTATGCACAGCTGGCTGTCAGCATTGATGCCCTGCAGACACAGCTGGGGACATGAGCCTCTGGCTGAGTCCAACCCACCCCTGCCTTCCAGCTGGGCTGAGATCCAGTGATCAACAGCTCTGCAATCCAATCCCTAAAATGATCTGGCACCCACAGAGCAGAAGGGCTTCAGGGGCACTTGAGCAATAGGGGTGGGACAGAGGAGTGGGGAAGGGAGCCGGTCCAGCAGCTGGTCCAGCACAGACCCACCCAGCCCTCCAGGTGGCCGAGGCCACCAATCCAGCAATGCAAAGGTGCTGAGGTACACACATGCAGCCCTCTAGATCAGCCGGGGTTGCTCATCCCAAATTAATCCACAGAGGATGCTGCCCTCTTTTGGGCTCAGCGTGACTGGCAGAAATTCAGGGAAATTTGGAGAGGCCCAAGACCAGTGCATTTTGGGGCTCAAAACCTCACATAGAGGTTCTTCAAATGTGGTGACTTCCCATACCTATCTCGGTGGACATCCCAGGGGCTTCACCCGCTGAGATCCAGACTGCTGTGCCTGCGGGTGGCCTCTGAGCACAGCATGGGAAGGGAAGAGCAGGGCCAAGCTCAGGAGCTGTCCCTGAAGGACGAGATGCTTGCTGGGATGAACAGCAAGAAGATGAAGACCAGGGGTTGGGAAGGTCTCCTGGGCCTGGGGAGGACCACGGCGTCCTTACCAACTGTGAGAGCCACTAGCATTTCATCTTAATTAATGATTTTTCATAAATTAATTCAGTAGATAGTAAAATAAGTTCGCAGCCAGTTTAAGCAAGCCATAACAGGGTCCTGTGCTTCCCCAGAAGGGAGGAGTAGGGACCAAGCACTGCCAAGCCCTCCCAAGCGGTGACGCTGAGACATCCCAGTGCCATCTGCAGCAGCCCGGGGATGGCTGACTGCCCCCAGCACCCCCGCCCCCCTACCTGCAAGGGGAGAGGGGACGCCAGAGCTTCGGCGGTTCCCGCAGGCTCCTGCACCCCTGGCAGGTGCTGCCCCTGCAGCAGCACTCAGGGCTGGGTGCCAGCCAGCCCTACCTGTGCCGGGCTCCTCCCTGCCTGCACTTCCTTCTGCCGCTGGCACCTCCCCACAGTCCTGGGCACAGCCAGGACGGTGGCCTGCGCTGGCTTCGGGGGGCCCTGGGACTACTGCCTGACTGTGGGTTATCCCTGCCTGCACCGAGCAGCCCAGGGGCACCAGCGCCACCTCTTCTGCCCAGGTGACAGGCAGCAGCGGTAAGCCTCTGCTTTCTCCCAGAACCCCCACGGACGTCCCTGCCTCTGGCAAGCAGAAGCACCCTGGAGCCTGCTTCACCCACCTCTCCAGCATGCGGACGCCGACAGCGATGATCGTGGGGCTGGTGCTGTGCCCCTGCGGGCTCCTGCTGACACTCACAGGCACGCTGGCACCCAGCTGGAGGCAGGTGAGCCTCATACCCAACCAGCCCGTTGACCTCGTCTTAGAGCAGGGCATCTGGGACATGTGCAGTGAGCGGCAGAGCAGCCACAACCGCCACTGTGGGCAGGCTGATGACCTGGGCTACTTTGAGCAGGTGCCTGTGCGAGTGGCCCAAGGGCTGATGCCTACCTCGCTGGTGCTCACCTTCCTGGGCTTGGTGATGGCTGCCCTGGGGGTTCGCTGCTGGCAGAAGGAGCCACAGCACCTGCTGGCTGGTGTGGCAGGGCTTGTGCTGCTCCTCTCAGGGCTGCTGAGCCTCGTGCCTGCCTCCTGGTACACCCACAAGCTGTGGGCACTGCCTGCACCCGCTAGCAGCACGCTGGTTGTAGGCTACAGCTTGGTGCTGAGCTACTTGGGAAGCTGCCTGGAGATCTTGGGGGGGCTGGCCCTCACCCTCAGCTTCCACCACTGCTGCAAGCAGCGCAGGGCCCCCAAACTGCCCCCCAGCCCTGTGCTGGAGGCTGGGCCGTGCTCCACCACTGGGGCTTACCGCAGTCCCTGGGACATCCTGGAGGATGAGCGAGATGGACAGCACCAGAGGAGCACCCTGCCTTGTGACTCCGACTTGTAGCCCCAGCACAGGGACAGCAGTGGGCACAGGCCAGCCCGCCTGCCTGACACTAAGAGCAGCGCTGTCTCCTGCCCCTCCAAGCTGTGCCATTCTCTTGGGGTACCCTCAGGGCAGGCTGGAAACAAAACCAAGGACCTGGCTTGAATCTCTGCAACCTCCTCAAAAGCCTGCTGTGCTCCGGGCCCCACAACTGTGCCAAAGCCATGCTGAGTTGAGGACCAGCCATGGCTCCAGTGCCTCCATGCAGCTTTTAGCTCATCCTGCTGCACTGCACAGCAAGCTTAGGCAAAGGCAGCTCCGGTGTTCCCACGTGAGCATGGTATAGGTTAGCACCTTGTAGCCTTCAGGGCTGGAAATAGGGGAGGAGAGCACCTCCCACATGTCTCTGCTCAACTCAGGGCTGTGCAAACAGCAAAATAAATGAAGAGGAATGGGTCTGTGCTGTGGGATGGTTATGGGCTTTCTGCCAGGCAGGCTGGGCTGACAGCCAGTGTGCAAGGTTAACCCAGCTCCCCCATGCTTTGCCTGAAGCAGGGATGAAAGGTCTGTAAAAGGGTACAGGTAGCTTTTATAGCACCTTCCTCAAGGACTTTTCCCCCATGGTCAAAATCAGCTCTGGAAGAGGTTTCTCATTCCCTGAGAACAGCCCCTTCAGGGGGGGGGGGGGGGGAGAGGAAAAAAAAAAAAAAGAGAGATGACAGGGAAAAAAATAGCATATATTTCCCCTTTCATCATTAGCTTGGTGTGAGGCAGTAAAACTGGTCTCACTGGTTTGTAAGAGACACTCAGGAGGTCAGAACTGCACTATAAAATGCTGCTTGGCACCCTGCATAGGCAAGAGCTGAACCATCTTCCTTGCAGAGCTATTTGGCCAGATTTCTACCCCAGGAGAGCCCAAAGCACCCTGGTCAGCAAGCTAAGCCTTGCTGCAGAGGGACAGTGGATTGAGATGCCCTAAGTGTGATTAAGGGATGGTACAGGATGCCCTGTGTGATTCAGGGGGAGATCAAATTCAGGTGGCTGAGAGAATGTGTTGGAGCTGGAGACTTCCCAAAAAGCCTCCCAAAGCTTTTTGCTCTGGACTGTAAGTTCCCTAGAGCTTAGAGATCTGGGAAGAGCAAACCAACCTCCCCTTCCCAGCCCAGACACAAACCACAATAGCACCAGAGATGCTGCACAACATTCCTTTATGAAAATACAGTGTCAGGGCAAGATGGTCCCTTCCTCAGCGGGGCTGGCAGCTCCTGCAGAGATCACAGACAGGTGCATCAAGGATGAGTCTGAGCCAGCCTCCCTGGGCCCACCCCACATCTTGGCAGAGGGGCTCCAGCCACAGATGGAGGGGCACAGCCCCTGTACCAGCCAGACTCTAGGCACCCCCAGGTCTTGCCCCTCTTCCCCAGCAGGAGGGCAGAGCTTGCCTCAGGAGTGGGCACCATGCCAGCGCTGGGCCTGGGGAAGGATCTGCATATGGGGGCCGGGGGGGGGTGTCTTTGGGGCACCCCACAGTGGCAGGGGGGTCCCTACCAGGGCCTGCTCCAGATGCTACTCACCTCTTTCCCATCGTAAGCTTCATTCACAAAGGTATCGCTCTTGGGTGGAAGCTCTTCCTCCTCACCATCCTCTTCCTCAGGATCGCTTTCACGGTGGTACAAGGTCAGCACTCGGGTGGAGGCAGTGCTTGAGGTCCTGGGGAGGAAAAAAAGTACACTGAGGATGGCATGGCCATCTCCTAGCGATGGGGCAGATCCCAAGGTCCTGCCATAAATCCCTGGTAACAGCCTGCCAGGGTGATCGGAGCTTTCCACATAGCCCAGGAGTGCCCCAGGACACCACGGCTGTCCCTGGGCGGGGAGACCGTGTCCCTCTCCATCCCCAGTTGTACCTGGCCCAGCCCAGCCCCAGAGCTCACCTCCTCCGCCTGTCCCGCCTCCGCATGTAGGCCAGGGCCCCCACAGCAGCAACAGTGAGCAGCAGGAGAACAGCCACCCCCAGGGCAATAGGTCCTGCAACAGGCTTCACCTCTGCCTCCTCACAGTAGTTGCCACGATAGCCCAGGGCGCAGTGGCATGTCACTCGCCCAGCCTCGATAGCGCAGTCCCCGCGCAGGTTACATGTCTCACTGCTGCATGGCACAGCCCCCAGCACCTCCTCAGTGCTGGGGTGTACGACGAAGGGCTCTCCATGCTCCTGGGGGCCAGGGCCTGCGGGCAGGCTGGTGCCGGGCTGCTGAGGCTTGGGTGCAGCTGTAGGTAAGGCTGGTTTCTGTTCTTCCACATGGGACATTCTGGGTGGTGCCACTGTGGGGACCTGTGTCCCCACCTCCACAGAGGGGCCTGGAGGGATGGGCATAGGTCAGCAGAAACCCAGGTGAGACCCCCCTTCCCAAACTGGGGGAGACTGGGCAGGCTCCCCACCCCGTGCGCAGCCAGGACCCTTGCACGCCCCTGCCACGGGCAGGCACTCACAGCCAGACTCATCGGAGCTGTCAACGCAGTCAGGGTGCCCATTGCAGACCTGCTCTTCGGAGATGCAGCTCTGGAGGTCAGGGCAGGCCTGGAGTGGGGCCGGGCAGGGCAATGCAGGCATGCATGCCACCCCACGCACCAGGTGGTAGCCAGGGGAGCAGCGGCACAGCCGCCCTGCAGGGTTGGGCAGGCAGAGCTGGGCACAGCCCCCATTGCTCTTTGCACAGCTGTTGGTGCCTGCCAAAACAGCATGGGTTAGCATGGCCACCACGGGGCATGGCTCAGCCCCCCCCCAGCGCCCCAGCCTAGGGCAGCCCCAGACCCACCTTCCTGTGAGAACTGGCTGTAAATCCTTATGGCTACCAACTCCTGTTCCATTGGGAACCACCAGCTCTCAGCCCGCTCCAGCCGGCTGTGCCAGATCTTGCTGGAGCCTGGGAGACACATGGGGTCAGCACTGCTCCATCTCCTCTCGCAAGGGTGCCCAGAACAGGAGGTGGGGTCCCCCAGCCTGCCCTTCATCCCGGGGAGGGGCAGGCAGCACCCCATGGAGACTAGCAGACACCCCTGTGTCCTGGTGCAGTAGGAGGAGCTGGACAAAGCACAGCAAATGGACTCACCATTGGTTGAGGTCGTGCTCCAGAGCAGAAAGCCTTCTCCGATGGCAAAGAGCGAGAGGCCATGCAGCCCTTCCCGCACCACCCGGAAGTGGGATCCGTCCAGCTCAATGCTGCTGATGGCACCTCTCTCTGCAGGGCAGAGACGCGGGGACATCAGATGTGGGAGCACGGAGGGCTCCGGGCTGCACCTTGGGGCTGTGCTAGGCTGTGCCCTGCGGACCGAGTGCCTGAACCACTGCTACACCCCCAGCAGTGCCCTGGCTCAGCCCACACTCACCACGGTCTGCCCAGTACAGCCGGGTGCCGGCACCCCCAAAGGCGAGGCCAGTGGGAGCCCGGGCTCTCCTCCAGACCACTCTGCGGCCAGTGCCATCCATAGCCGCGCACTCCACTGCGGCGCTGGGCCGGTGGCTGCCTGCTGCCGTGACAAAGCACATGGTGGAAGCATGAGGACACAGCGCCAGCCAGGCAGCGCCCTGCAGCCCCTGGCTGAGCAGCACCAGGGTCCACTGCCCCCCCGGAGCTGCCACACGGATGCTGGGCGGCTGCCCCCCGATCCAATACAGGTTCCCACTCAGCCAGTCCAGGGCCAAGGACGTCACCGTGCCCTCCACAGCCACCGCCTGCTTCCAGGACAGCCGGCCCCAGTCCTTCAGGCGCAGCAGCCCAATGGAGTCACCCCCCACCTCCGCAAAGTACAGGCTCTTGTCTTTCACTGTGTAGTCGATGGCTGTCAGGCGGCCCACCTTGGCCAAGGGCAGGGCTTGGTGTGGGGGAAGGCCTTGGGATCCAGCCATTGCAGGCAGGTCCTTCAGGTAGACCTGGAGGAAGGAGGCAGCGCTAGGACAGGGACCCCACTCCCCTGATGACAGCGAGGACAGCAGCCCTCAGGGCCTGCTCAGGAGGACAGTACCTGTGCCACGGCTGCCGGTGACACCAGGAGGGCAAAGGCCGAATCGCGGAGGGGCAGGCAGGTGGTCTCATCAGCGGCCAGGATCAGCCTGGCAGGGCACCGGCACTGCCCGGCATGCCTGGCACTCAGCAGGCACAGGTGGGAGCAGCCGCGTGACACACACGGGTTAGGGGCTACCGGGCGCAGGGCTGGGTGCATCACCTGTGGGAAGGGCAGGCTCAGCCTCACAGCCCTGCCAGTGCCCAGCATGACTGACACCACGCCATGCTGCCAAGGCCCGGACGCGGCCCAGCTGGGGGCAGAATGGTGGGGCAGAGATGCTCCAAGAGGACCAGAGACCCTTGACCGCAAGGACTGCTGCCCAAAGACCACCAGGATGGGGGTACAGCTCCCAGTAGCTCTGCACTCAGAGGATGGCGGGGCCGTGCAGGGTGGCACCCCCAGCAGAGCTGGCACAGCATGGTTCAGGGCTCCCCCAGGTAGGTACCTGGAGGCCATGGGGCTGCCCGTGTCGCTTGAGCAGCACGGTTCTGTTCTTGCCACTGGCCTTGTCCACTTGCTGCACGGACCATGCCTTCCTCTCCGACCAGTAGAGCTGCCCCTCGCACACCGCCGCTGCGAAGGGGCTCCGGACCCAGCCCAGCTGCAGGACCTGGCAGAGAGGCTGTGAGCACCCACCCTGGCTCCCATCAGGAACCCATCACCAGAGCCACACCACAGACCTTCACACTGGTGCCATCCAGATGTGCAGAACCAATGCTACCCAGCTTCTCATCCAGCCAGAAGATTCTCCAGGTGGGGAGGTCGAGGGCCAGTGCTGTGGGCCAACCCAGCCCCTGGGCCAGCAGCACATGCCGCCGACTCCCATCCATGGTGGCCTCCATCAGCCGTGGGTGGCTCCCCACCTCTGACCAGTACAACAGCCTGGTGGGAAGAGAGGTGCTGGCCCACAGACCTGGCACAGTATCGTCCCAGTACCAGGGCAGCCCAGAGGAGCAGCATGGAGCTTCCCATCCCATCAGGGATGCACTGAGAGCTCCACCCAGGGCAGGGGCAGGTGCCTTCTTCCCCACTTGCACATCCCCAACAGCACCCAGGTGAGGCCATCCCAACTCTTCCCCAGCCTGTCCACCTGCCTCTGTGGAGGAAAGCAGGGCAGGGCAGGGATGGCAAGGAGGTCCCCATATCCTCTTGTCCCAGACTTACCCTGCCAGAGGCTGGAGCACCAGGGAGTGGGGCTGGTCCAGGTCTCCATCCATCACCACAGTGTACTCTGGTATCCCTCGCCAGGCAGCCCCCAGGCGAGTGGCCAGCACCTGCCCTGCTGCCCCATCTGTCCAGTACAAGTTCCTCCCAAGCCAGTCCACTGCTACACAGTCTGATCTCACACCTGCAATGCACTCAAGAGTCAGCACCCGTGGGGTGACAGCTGCATGGCCCTTTGGCACAATGCTCCCTGCCCAGGTCCCCTCCATCCCAAGAGGTCTGGCTCCACCCAACCCTGCTCCCACCAGCACCTCTCCACACAAGGGGACAGAGCCTGGCACCCACTGCAACCTGGAGATTGCACAACCACAGAGGGGCCAGCCCTGCTAACCCCACACTGTCACAGCCCACCTTTCACCAGTGTGCCTTTCTTGCCCGAGTCGAGGTCCTGCCAGCGGATGCTTTCTGTGGCCAAGTCCATCCAGAAGACTTTCCTCTCCACCAGGTCATAGTCGAGTGAGAAGACAATGCGATCCTTGTCAGTAGCCAGTAGCACCTCCTCACGCCCACTCCGCAGGCCATAGGACAACACCTCTGACTGCACGGCCACGAGCAACATGGGCTCTGGTCCTGGGGCAACACAGGCACCCAGACTCTGCTCAGTGCTGGTGGCCCCAGCACACACAGGCAGGAATCATGGCGCTCACAGGCATTGGAGCCTGCTGGGACTCGGCCCTGCCGCACAGCACGTTCCTTAGCTAGTGCAGGTGGATCTTCCAATCAGCCATGGGCTGGCAAGCAGCAGCTCACAGCTGAGTGAGGCCCGGGAGGCCACATGGCAGAGGGGACAGGACCATTCATGGGACTACAAGGCTCATGGGCAGCAGGCACGGGGGGCAGGTACCCACCGGCTCCTGGTGTACCCTGGAGTGCCATGGACCTTTGGTGCTGCTTGACCGTCACAGGGCTTACCAGTGAGTTTGCAGACACGTCCGTCAGGCTCCAGCAGGTAGCCAGGGAGACAGCCACAGCTGTAGGACCCTGGGGCATTGAGGCACGTCTGGCTGCAGGCTCTCTCACCCCACTCCATGCACTCGTCTATGTCCACGCAGGACAGACTGTCCTCGGCCAGCCGATAGCCTGGGTCACACCAGCACCGCTGCGGGGAAAGGGGCTGTCAGGGTCCTGCCTTGGGGACACATGAGGCTCCCTCCTGCAGCTGAACCAGGGCAGCATGGCAGGGTAAGCCCCTGGACCAGGACTGCTGGCACTCACAGGGCCCTGGGGCGAGGGGTAGCAGAGATGAGCGCAGGACCGCTGGCAGGGCACAGAGCAGTTCCCCCCCTCATCCGAGCCATCTGTGCAGTCCTGCTGGCCATCGCACACCAGGGATGCATTCAGGCAGGCCCTCAGCCCACATGGGTACTCGTGACTCTGGCAGGGAGCAGGCTGGCCTGCAGGGACATGTAGGGAAACCTGCCCTGAGCCTCATCCACCAGCTCCTTTTGCTCAGCTGGGGCAGATTCAGCTGCTCCCGCAAGGTGCCCAGGGCTCACTGCAGCCACCTTCAGAGCTGTGCCTGTAGCCTGGCTTCAGGTTATCCCAATCCCAAGGCCACCAGCCCTATAGGAACAACAGCTACCTGGGGCCTGGAACCACCACAAATGCTTGGAAGAAGCAAGAAGCACACAGGGCCTTTCGCCTCTGTACAGACACGTCCCCACCTCCCTCTGTGCTGGGCACCCACCAACCGCCCCTGGGTGAGACACAGAGGGGATAAAAGCAGGGTGTTGCTCACAGCCAGCCTCATCGCTGCCGTCTGTGCAGTCACTTTCTCTGTCGCAGCGCCAGACATCAGGGATGCACTTATGGCCATGGGAGCAGCCCCACTGCTGGTCCCCACACAGCCTTTCCTCCCAGGGACAGCCCTACAAAAAGCAGAAGGTGAACAGGGCCACCAGCACTCCTGGGAGTGAGCGGGGACAGGCTGTGTCCCCACCACCCCACTCACCTGCTCGTCTGTGCCATCCCCACAGTCGGTGGCACCATCACAGCGCCAGGCCTCCGGCACACACTCCCTGCTGCGGGGACACGCCACCTCACCCGTACGGCAGAGCAGCGGCCGGGGCACAGCGCAGCCCTCCTCATCCGAGCCATCCCGGCAGTCGTGGTCGCCATCACAGCGCAGGGCCAGGGCCACGCATTGCCCACTCTGGCAGGGGAACTCAGCAGGACCGCACTCCTTCGGCACTGCGGGCAGGTCCAGGGCTGAGCGGTGGCACTGTTCCCATCCCCATCCCCTTCCCACCAGCGCAGGCATGGCACTGAGCAGGGTATGGCCCCTCCAGCTGCTCAGCAGGTTGCCCCAGGCAGTGCCTGCTCCTAGACCCACAGGAAACTTGGTGCACCCACCTGTGGGACAGGCAACCCCCAGAAGCCCCTGTCCCATCCAGCCCCAGGGTCTCACCACAGCCCTGCTCATCGGTGTGGTCCAGGCAGTCGGCGTGGCCATCACACAGCCAGCTCTCAGGGATGCAGCGGGTAGCAGCGTCACAGCGCAGGGTGCACTCCTGCGTGGGGCTCCAGCAGCCTGTCTCATCCGAGGCATCAGGGCACTGTGGCACCCCATCGCAGTGCTCCGCAGCCCCGATGCATATGGCTCCGCTCACACAGTGGAAGGCCCCTGGGGAGACAAGGCTCCTTGCTAAGCCTGCAGTAGGCAGCCAGGGTGCCCAGACTCTCTGCTAGCCCCCCAGTGACCTAGAATGGCCCCATGCTACAGCGAAAGGGCTTGGTCCCTCCTAGTCAGTGCATCTCCAGCAGCCTAGGTCCCAAGCAAGACCAGTGAGGCAGTCTCAACTCAGCCACATCTAGGTCACCACGAGCAGCAGGGCCAGCCCTATCCCCTTCTGACAGCACCTCCAGCCCAGCACCAAGCTCAGAAGAAACCAGTATGCCACATCACAAGCACCAGAGCCCAGGACACACTCAGACCTTCCCAGGGCCCCACCCCACCAACCCCACCAGGAAGCGGCCAGCAGCCCTGGCACAGGGCAACCCAGCTGCACAGGGGACTGAAGAACGGCTCCTACCTGGGGTGTCACAGAGCTGGGCACACCCGTCCTCATCAGACCCATCTGCACAGTCCTTCTCCCCATCACACATGTACTCCTGGTCCACGCACTCGGTGCCATCACGGCAGGGCACATGCGTGCGAGGACAGGAGAGATGGAGGACTGGGGTCAGGGGGCGTGCAGGGCTGGATGGGAGGGGTGGGGTATGCGGCACTACCCGTGCAGGACTGGTTGGACACTGGGTGATAGTAGTTGGCCATGGAGTAGTGGTCTTGGTTGTCAAGGACCGAGTGGTGGTGGTGGCAGCTGGTTGCACAGTGGTGGTCTTGGTTGGCGCGGTCCGGGCAGTGGTTGGTGCTGGGGTGGTCTTGGTTGATGTGGACTGGCTGGTGGTGGTTGGTGATGTGGTAGCCTTGCCGGTTGGTGCACGAGTAGTGGTGGGCACAGCGGTGGTCTTGCTTGGTGTAGGTCTTGTGGTGGAGGTAGTGGGCTGAGCAGCAGTGGTACTTGTGGTTGTCTTCATAGTGGTGGTCACAGGTGGAGGGAGCGGCAGGGCAGACTCCTTGCTTGGTGGCACTGGCAGAGGCACAGGAACATGAGCCTGGATTTGGGGCTGTGCCATCCCCACACTCCAGGCACCTCCAAGAGCACCCCACATAGCCACCAGCAGCCAGGCACCCTGCCCCAGCTCAGAGCACCACGGGCCACCCAGCCCCATCAGGTACAGCACCAGGGCCAGGCACAGAGCCGTGGCCACTCTTACCAGCCTGCAGCTCCGAGCCTACGAAGGCCACCACTCCCTGCACGCTTGCTGCCGGCATGGACAGCACAAGGGCCAGTGTCCTCCGGTCCCACAGCAGCAGAGCCGTCCCGTTTGCTGACACCAGGTATGGTTCAAAGGCAGCCACAAGGCCGTGGGACCAGCTGGGTGCCAGCGTGACTGCTTGCTGCTTCGTCAGACTCAGTGCCCGTAGGCCTGCGAGGCAGAGGGATGGTGTAGGACCCTGGGGCCCACAGGCACCCCTTGTGGCCCACCGCATGGCCCACCCTGTGCCCCCATAACCCACAGCTATGGCAGGGACCTCATGGCTGAGGCCAGGGGCTGAGCCATGGGACAGAGTCTGCCCCAAGAGCACCCTACTGCCCAGGCAGGGAGCTACTGCACGTAGGGCATGGCTTGTCACTCCTGCCTATAGCAACCACCTCCGCTCTCCCTGCTCCCAGGACTCACCCAGGACTGAGCTCCAGAGCAGGCTGAAGCCTCTGCTATCCATGGCTGCAGGCAGGTCTCCAGGCCAGGTCTCATTCCAGGCATCCCACGGAGCACCCCCAGCCAGGCTCAGCTGCTGCAGGGGCTGCCCACGGGCTAACCAGTACAGAGCACCCCGCTGCCAGTCCAAGAAGAGGTGCTGGATGCTGCTGCGAGCATGGTGCAGGATGCGTGGGGACATGTCAGATGCCTGGATCACTCCGATGTCCCTCCGGTTACACGCGAGCCAGTACAGGTCCCCCGAGCGGATGTCCACACGGACAGAGCAGACTTGGCAAGAGTAGGCAGGCAAGCAGTTACAAGGCTGTGCCATGACCCCACTCCTCTGCCTAGTCCCTCCTGCCCCTAAAACTAGGGCACAGCTGCCCAGTCTCTCAGCACAGCCCCAGCGTGGGCACCATGGGACTGCGGGGCTCTGCACCCAGGAGATCCTCAGGCCTCAGGGAGCACGCCCTCCATCACCTCATAGGGTCTCACCTGGCAGCCCAGTTGCAACAGCCTCTCTCCTACCAGGGTGCCCCACAACACGCAGCAGCGTCCCATGGTCATCTGTCCCGTAGAGCACCGACCTCTGCCAGTCCACGTCTTGCAGATGGAGAGGCTCCTGCCACTCCTGCACCCGTTTGCTGTGTGCTCCAGGGCCCACCTGCACCAGGGAGATGGCCTTCCCCGATGCATACACGATGGACAGCTCTGCAGGGTGCAAGGGCAGTGTGTGAGCATGGCTCCAGGGGCACTGGATGGGGTCACCAGCATAAACCAAGGCAGAAACGTAACAGCACTGGTGTGTGCTGGGAACCTCATCCCAAAGCCACAGCCCCTTACGGCCTTCCCTCTGACTCCCACAGTGATGTGTCCCAGCCCCGGCAGCCAAGCCCACCTTGCAGACACTGCTTACCTGTGCACTTCCCTGAGGGCAGGAGGAAAAGGCCCTCCGGACATGCACACTTGTAGCCCCGAGGGTGCACAGGGGACAGAAGGCAAAGGTGACTGCACAGGCCCGGAGCACACGCAGCAGTGTCTCCTGGAAGCAAGGGGACATTAAGAGCTCAGGCAGCCGTGACCGCCCATGCCTCTCCTGATCCCCCAAAAACACAGGCTGTCCTGGGGCTGGATGCGGGCTGGCTACCCCAGGCAGGGTAGCAGTATCACATGAGGTAGGAGGGCTCAGGTCTACCTGAAGCCATGGGACTCGGCTGCTTTCCTACAGGTTCATAGATCCCCTCTCCCACAACCCCTCATCACAGGGCCTGGAGAGCCATCAGGCAGGACCCAGTGAGCTCCAGGACCCAGCACAGCCTCCCCCAGCACCCAGGGAAGCAGCAGTGATGCTGCCAGCCCTGCACTGGTGCAGGCGCCCAGCAGGGTACTTACGGGGAGGCTGCTGCAGTGCATGCAGGACAGTGAAAGCCGAGACAGGGGCACGGAGCAACACTGCATGCTCCTGGGGAGACACCCGGGTGGCCGACACCAGCTCTGTGCCATCAGTCCAGAAGAACCGGCTCTCAAACACAGCCAGGCCCAGTGGCTCCGTGTGGCTCCGCAGGACAGTGGGAAAGGAGTGGCGCCCACTGCCATCCACCTGCAGCGTCTCAATGGACTGGGGACAAGGCAAGGCATGGTCACCATGTGGCACCCCACACCCTGGCACTGTCCCACAGCCACGGGGCTCACAGTGGTGCCTTCCGCCTCCCAGCCCAGGGATGTGTGGCAAGACCTGGGCACTGCTCCGTGCTCCCTCCCATGCCTTGGTTGTAGCCACAGGGGAACCAGGGCCACCCTCCCCACTCCCACCTCATCGCCTCCCAGCACCTGGGGGGGCAGAACCCTGCTGCCCTGCATCCCTACCTCCTTGTACTCGCTGATCCAGTACAGCCTGCCAGCCACATGGTCCAGGCTCAGCCCCACAGGCTCCTCCATGGACACCACTGTAAGCTCCCGCCAGTTTGAACCATCCATACCAGCTGCAGCAATGACTGTTCGGCCCCTCTGCCCTCGATTGACCCAGTACAGGGACCTGGGGGCAGGCACTAAGCACCCACTTCACAGCATAACACCAGTGCTGCCACAGCCCCACAGCAGGCATGACATGGTCAGCACCAGCATCGCTCACCCAGGAACCCGGGGCCAACCCTGGCTCACTCACACCTCACCTTGCAGCCGGATGCACTGTCAGCTGCTCTGGTGCCACGTCCTTCCCCAGCACTGTCACGTAGCCCCTGCCATCGCCCAGCCCCGCGCAGATGGCTGCAGGGTGGCTACTGGCCCAGTACAGCTGGCCTGTGAACCAGTCCACAGAGATGCTGTTCACCTCCCCGGCATCTGCAGAGATAGAGCAATTTAAGGCACACCACCCCTGCTCTGGGCCAGGGGGCAAAACCCATGTTGCCCCTTCCTCTACAGGAAAGGCAGGGCTGGGGCGGCAGGCCAGCTCTCAGCTCCCATCTCAGCCCCACTATGGCACCCAGCACCCTCACTCCTCCCCACCTGCATAGAGGGGCTGCGTGCCCTTCCCTGGGAGATGAGCCCGGAGCTCGCCCTCCTCTGTCAGCCAGTAGTAGGTTTCTCGGAGCAGGTCATACACCAGGGCACGGGGTTTGGTATCGGTGGAGAGCAGGGGCCGGTAGGCTTGGGTCCGCACATCCAGAAGGGCCAGGTCCTGCCCCACGGCCACCAGGATCTGTGTCGCATTGTCTGCCAGGGCGAGGGGGATGTCAGCCAGTGAGCGGGGACCTGGCTAGCTGGGGTTACGGCCCAGCCCCTCGGACAGCCCGGGCTGCCCGGCTCACCCTACCTGCCACTTCGCAGGTGGTGCCATGCCACAGGGTGTAGCCCTGGAGGCAGGCGCAGCTGAAAGCGCCCAGGGTGTTGCTGCACAGCTGGCTGCAGGGGCTGTACTCCAGGGAACACTCATCCACATCTGCGGGGATAGGTGCAGCCAGAAGCCTGCCACACAGCTGGCTAGCCACCCCCAGACAGCATCACCACTGCTCCCCAGGGACCACAGGCAGGCTCCCTAGATACCAGGACCTGGGCCCCAGCCCCAAAACGCACCAGCTGCCTCTGGGACATGACCTAGACACAGCCTTTGTGGGGCCAGGTGTGACAAGCAGGCAGGAGCAGGGCTGAGCCAGGCATTCCCATGCAAGCGCCGGCTCCGGGGAGACCCTGCTTTTGGCAGCCGAGGCTGCACATGCCCAAAGTATGTACACCCTGACCTCTCCTTACCAGCACAGTTCTGCCCATCGGCCTGCAGCACCCAGCCGGCCCCACAGGAGCACTGCACTCCCCAGTGCGTGTCAGTGCATGTCTCTGCACAGCCCCCGTTGCGTACGAAGCAGCTCCGACCTGCAGGGACACAGCAGAGGGGTGACACAATGCAGGACAGCTCTGTGGCTCCCCCAGGCCCCAGCCACACAGGCAGTGGCCGGCAGCCACACGCAACTCACCGCATGTGCTGGGCTCGTCAGTGCCGTCCACACAGTCATCCTCATCATTGCACATCAGGGACTCCAGGATACACTTCCCCTCGTCGCACCGCATCATGCCAGGAGGGCAGGGAGCTATGGTGCACACAGCTCATGTCAGGAGGGCAGACCGATACCAGGTGGGCACAGGGAAGGCTGTGGGTGCCTGACTCATGGGGAGGCCCCGCAAAGCATCAACAGGTTCCCGGGATGCTTGCCAGCATCCCAAGGGGAGCTGGGGCCCAGGAAGGCAAAGTACCCCTTACATCACACATGGCCTGGACAGGTCTCACCCCACTGAGGAGCATCCAGCGTGCTTGCTTACCACAGACATCTTCATCCGAGGAATCACCACAGTTGTCAATCCCGTTGCACTTCCACTCGGCCATGATACACACCCTGTTCCTGCACTGCCACTGCCCAGGCAGACAGGGCTGCTGGGGACACCCTTCCTCATCCCAGCCATCCTCACAGTCCTGGTGCCGATCGCACAGCTCCCAGTGTGGGATGCAGTGGTGGGTGCCGGGACACTGCACCTTCTTTGCCCCACACACTGAGGGAACAGAGCAGCACTCACACCCTGCCCTGTGCCCCCAGCCACCCCCACTCAGCCCCCCCAGCAGAGTCTACGTACCGCAGTCCTGCTCATCAGAGCCATCCAAGCAGTCAGCAGCACCATCGCAACGCCAGCTGCTAGAAACACACCGGCCGTCGTCACACTGCCAAACATGGGGGTCCCCACCACAGGCAACATCTGCAGGGACAGCACATGGTCACTGGGACCTACTGCTCCAGCACAACCACAAGGGTCCCCTCCATCCTGGCACGGGGCAGGTGCTGGCAATGCCTGAGGGGCTCTGCCAAGGGGCTGGCCCACAGCAGCCTCCAACAGGGCTCTTGGGCAGGTGGGGGGCTGCCTCGCTCAGCTTGGGATCCAGGACATGTCCCCGTGCCACAGACATCCCCCGGGAGCTCTGGGGCACACACATCCCTGCAGGGTGCCACACAGGAGCCACTGGCAGAGCCAGCAAGGAGTCAGGTGCCTCTGGCCTGCCCTGCCCCACCACCCCCCCAGAGCAGCTGGGCCCCTCGATGCTCACACAGCACAGCCCCTCAAGCCACCCCGCGACAGAGGATGGGTGCCAGCTTCCCCTCACTCACCACACTGCTCGTCCGTCCCATCAGGACACTGCTGCTCGCCATCGCAGAGCCAGGGAACAGGGATGCAGCCAGCACCGCAGGCAGCCTGGCGTGAGGCCACGCACGTGGGGCTGGCGGGCGCTGCGGGAGAGGGATGCCGGCCCCTGGTCAGCCTGGGCAGCCACGGCCAGCACTCGCCGGCACACACCCCACGCAGCTCCCTGCTCCGCTTAGGGGTCCCAGCACAGCCCCGCAGAGGGGGGGACTGGCACCAGTCAGGGGCACCCCAGGACCTCGTGCAGGGCTGGAGGGAGAACTGCAGCCTCTCGTTCCCCACCACCCAGGGAAGGCAGGGAACCCCCAGCCCCTCCCCCAGGCAGCGGGACAGGGCTACTCAGGGTGCAGGACCCCCCACGCTGTCAGGGTGGGAAGGATGCCACGGAGGGCAGGAACCCCCACATCACCGAGGACTGGGGAGAACGGGGACAGCCTAAGTGGCAGGGACATCCCCCCCCCATAGCCCACCGCTGGCGAAGGGGGCAGCAAGCAGCCCTGAGGCAGCGGGCGCCCACCGCAGCCCCTCAGGATGGGGCAGGGACCCCTCCCCCCTCCCGGCCCGCCCCCCTCGGCCCCGGCTCACGGGCGCGGCGGGTCCCG